TTTCAGGATTAGGTACATAAGCATATTTCTAAATTATGGAGTGCAGCCTCGGTACACCTGTGTTCCCTGGTTCCATAGTTTTACTGATTCATGATTGCCTGAGTGCTGGTAGCTTGACCTTTCTAACGAGACCTTGAATACCCATCAGAGACTGTTCATCTACTCCAACAGTGATATCTAGACCTTCCCAAAGCAGTCTGCTGTCTTGAGAGTCTTCTGGTTTGGTTAAGTTAATCATGAATCTGCCATTCTTGGCCTGTAACATCTACTTAGCACATGTCCACCTCTGGCCCAGACCCTTTGGGGTCTGAGTTTGAATGTGACTTTTCTGGACATAATTACAATCTACATGGTACTGAAATACACTTACTCCTTTCAGTACTCACTACCAAGCCAGATTGGCAGTTTCTACTGGTTTAACTTGGTGATACCTTCAAATAATAAATTCTTGCACTTTTGAAAGCCCTACAAGTTGTTCTATGAGTCTAGGTTATTTTGACAAAGACAATATCAAAATGTGATTTTTTTTACTATGAAGAAATATAATATTTAATAAAATTCTTAGAGATATACACCAATTGTTTCATTGCAAAAAACAAAACAAAACAAAAGGTTGACAAAACAAAACAAAAAAACTCGTGAAATTACCTTGAAAAACAGTTCACAAACTCATTACCTTATTTATTTATTTTTTTTTTGAGTTGGAGTCTCACTCTGTCGCCCAGACTGGAGTGCAGTGGCCGCTCCCGGCCACCGCAGCCTCGACCTGCTGGGCTCCGGCGATCCTTCCGCCTCAGCCTTCCGAGTAGCCGGAATTACAGGCGCGCGCTGCCACGCCCGGCTGATTTTTCGATTTATTGTAGAGATGAGGTCTTGCTGCCGAGGCGGGTCTCGAACCCATGGGCTCAGGCAATCCACTCACCTCAGCCTCCCAAAGGCGTGGGATTACAGGCTGAGCCACCGAGCCCGGCTACCTTATGTTTTAATTCAATCAACAAATATTTTTGAATGCCAGTTATATGCTTATGAACAAAAGTTTATTTATCATTTTGGCATTATGCAAAATTTATTGATGGGTAGAATAAGTCAGTTATATTGTTAACTAAAACTTTACTCCAAGCAATAAAACATCACCTCTATTGCGCTTTCTCTGTGTCAAACATCCTTACTAAGTACTTTCCTGACATTACTTAATTTAACCATTTCAACAACTCCGCAAGAGAGGTTATATTCTCATCCTCATATTGCAGTGAGAAAATGGAGTCAGGCGTGTTTAAACAACTTGGTCAAACTAATGTATTTCGAATGTGTGGGGGAGACAGGATACAAACACAGTTGATTTCTGAAATCATACTCAAACACATAAATCGACAAATTAATTATTTTAAATCATTCTTAGGTCTCATGGATCTTATTCATTTATTAAGATCTCTACTGAGTGTGTACATGTAGGTGTGTAAACACCTATGGGTCCCTTAGAATAATGTGTAGATTTGTGCTGAGTGTGTACATGTACAGGTGCTGAGGATAAACTAGCATGGAGGGCTGAGTTCTTCTCTTCTATATTTTCTCCATGAGGGCTGGGTGACAGAGGTAGTCAGAGAATGCTGAGAGAGTACAGTGAGCTCCCCTATGACCAGCTCTTAGCAGTTCAAGAAAGGCTTCCTGGAGAAGTCTGACGTGACACCTATGGTGTTTGTTACACAAGTGAGACCGTTAAGGTAGGAGCAGGATCACTGGCTGTGAATGATGCAGTAGGGAGCGAGGGGCTGGAGAGACAGCAAGGTGCTGCACAGGGAGGGACCTTGTTTGGCCCAGTAAGCATCTAGGTTGCCCTTCGCAGAGCAAAGGTAGGAACTGGGGTGGGTGGCATGGGGAAAAACAAGGCTACCCTGAATGGGAAGATGTATGAACTCTTAGACACATCACATGATAACATTATGCTTCTTGAAAATGAGTCATTTGGCTCTATTCAGCCACGTCTCCTGTTGGTGTCTGCTGTATTTCATGCCCCCATGTCATATGTAGATCAGAAATTAGAGTTGATTGAAACTCAAGCTATTTCTTTTTACTTTCTACCCTAGGACCATTCATGCACTCATTGTTCAATTAAAAAATAACGACATTATTATTTCCCAGATTGCACAAGCCAGAACTCTAGGAATTAACCATATCACTTCTGTTTTTCTCATTTCATATTGAAGTGCGATGGCTAAGAGGTTGGGCTTTTGAGTTTCACTGTCTGGATTCAAATCTTGTTTCTTCTGTTAGAAAGCTGTAGAATGTTGGACAAGGTAGCACAATCTCTTCGTGCCTTAGTTTCCTCAAGTTAACAGTGGGGATGATAATATTGACCACAGGTTGTCTAAAGTTTCAAACGAATAACTCATATGAAACCTAAGAACAGAGTTTGTACACGTGTGCTTATACATACATACACATACACACAGATACGTATGCAGGCATATGCATGTTTATATTAGATATGTCTGCAGAGGTATAAAACTAAAGTATCTACCAAATTAACATAGTGTTTCAATTTAATGCTGTTTGCCTAAGAGCCAAACAGTCATCAGGGATGTTCTGTCTCTTTTGCAGTAACTAGGGATAAATGTGAATGTGAATTTAGAAAAAAAGATGTCAGAGCTAAAACATTTTAGCTGTCACTTTGTAGGAGAGTGACGTGGTCACTGCAGTCCCGTGGGTTACTTCTGTTCATGAGGGTTCATCTCTATAGACCTATGACATTATATACAATTTTCTTTGTTTTTGGATTTTGTGTATATATATGACCTTGCACAATCGATTGGTGCTTTGAAATAAACACATTCTAAAGTTTTATCTTTCTAAAAAATAAACGAGTGACAATAGATGATGAGCATTCATTTACAGTGCCTTGTTGCTAGATTTGTTTGTTTGTTTGTTTTCTTTTTATACGAGGATTGGAAAGGTAGATATTTGGCTTAATTGGGAATGCTACATTGTACGGGGAGTACACTTGCAAACTCTTCAAAATCATGAGCCATGTCTTATTCATTTTTATTTTCCCTACAGTGCCTAGTCTAACACCTGGATGCAGTAAGTTCCTCATAAATACTTATTAACAAAACAATGGTGTTCTTTAAATATAGAAAAGCTGAGTTTCATTTAATAATTGGAGTTTACATTCCTTAATATATTTTTAAGCATTTTCTATTTGCTTTTTCTTACCTATATATAAATCTGCAAACATTTATAAGGTATTGATGTACTTATACTTTTATTCATCAAATATCAATTTTATATTCAGGTTTATCTTTGATAAATGAATAATATATTCATATTACCTGCAAATCTGCATAGATTATTGATCATTGATAAAGTACTAAGTTACAGTAATCGTGTAACAGCAGGGAAAAATAAACACCTATGGGTCCCTTAGAATAATGTGTAGATTTGTTTAGAATGCCTTGATTTCATCAGTATAAAAGTAGCAAGAGACACATTTTCAGTAGATGCCTTTGCCACCAATTCATTGGCAAAGCTGCCCAAAGTACTGTTTCACTGGCTCCATCCTACCTCTTTCTGAATAATTCTGTCCCCAAGAGTTTAGTATTCTCATGTTGCTCCTTGGTTGTCCAGAACCTCTCGCTTACATCAAGGTTTGCTCCGTTAAAGTGGCCGAGACTTTGGAATAGCATAGTCTCTCTATTAAACTTACGTTTTTAGATATTTTTATTCAATGGTGGTAATAGACAACAATATAATAATTAACTTATAAATATATGATGCTTTGTTTTTTCTTCAATGGACTAGTTTTGAATTCTATAAATAAAGACCTTTTAAAAAATGTCAAACAAGGGCAAAACAAAAGGTAGACGTAGAAATAAAAGAAAACAAATAGCAACCATAACCAATATTCTAGACATATCACTGTTATCATTTTGGGATGGTGCATAATAAAGTTTTAATTTTATTTTGTCTAATTTTCTAGCATCTGCAGTTTGCAGTGTTATTTTAAAAAAATCATCCTGAATTTCATATTCACGTTTGCGTGATAAGGCATAGTACTCTTGCATTTAATTTACACGTGTTAAGGTGAAGCTGTAAGTTGTTTTTAGCTTTATCTTCCTTAAGGAATAACTTGTCAATCGCCCAATTCAAAAACCTGTTCAGTAATCCCTCCCCACTCTCCAATTTATGCTAACCAATGTAAGGTTTTAAATTTGATTACCTAGTGAGATGCTCTGGAATTTTTTATTGTCTTCTGCTTTTTTCAGGTCTATTTTTTTTCCCACCAATATTAAGAATTTTCTTGAGCTTTATATACAGTAGTTTTGCTGTCTGAAAAGGTAGATTTCTACCTCATTATTTTTCTTCTTCAAAATATCTTAGTTTCCAGTCCATCTGTTTTCAGGTGACATTTAAAAAAGCTGCATATTCATTTTCAAAGAGTTTTTCATATCATCCTCACATTTAAACACTGTGATAAAAACACATAGCATAAAATTTGCTATCTTAACCATTGTAAGTGCACAGCACAGTAGGGTTAGCGACATGCACATTATTGTGCAATAGAGGACATTTTAAAAACCAAATCCCTCGTTGGTAGAGATGTGGCTGAGACTTGGAGGAGTTCCAGGATTTCAGAATTTCACAACACTTCTCTTTTCCTCATTGTGTCAAGCCCTCTAATGAATAAAAGACACTATGCACTCAGTGTCCTTATAAGATTCACTCTTCCTAGGACTCCTCTAAAGTTGTTACTGTTATTACAGACTGACTACCTACTGTCATAAAACAGATTCAGTGATGTGTAAAAGCAGATACCCATGACGGTGGTCACTCAGCAAAATGGCACCGATTAAACATTTTTCTCTCTCTCCTGCTTTCTGCTTTCTCTAGTTTGTGTCCTTGCTCTCTCTGGCTATGAAAGAAATAATCTAGACAAGAGCATGGCATCCATTCAGGTCTTAGATTCAGTCAGCCTGATGCTATGACGGGTACTTTTCCCCCCACAGACTGTACGAGTGGGGGACACTTCAGAGTAACCACACAAGAATCTAGAAAGAAACGCTCTGCTCAATACAGCTATTCCAGCAAGAAAAATGTGGACCTAAGTGATCTAAGGAGTAAGTGTGTATAGGAATATCTAATTTATTTAGACTACTTGCTAAAGATAGGCTCGAAATCTAAAGTTTGTTTTTTTAGTAGAGATCACCACTAACTTACTTATTTACATAGCAGATAAACGACATGAAAAGCGTGAACACAGATACATTCTGTAATACGTATGCATTCCATTTTACTCTGCAACAGCAGAACCAGGGCATGCTTGACAATAAAGTTTTATTAATAAAGCGAAGAAAACTGTACATCTTAGATGCTATTTTTGACCTGTTAAATCACATGTTGATATTTTTCAAATTCTTTATGAAAATATGAAGCAGTATATCATTTGTAAGAAAGATATTAATATTCATCAAGTTGTTTATTTTAATTTATGAATAGTGTATTTCAAGCAAGGTTTAATTTGTGACCAAAATGGAATATTTTTGAACTTGTAGAAAATCATGAAATATCAATCTTATTCCTTTGAAATCCCTTGGGACTTCTTTCATGAAACTTATATACTAGCTTAATATATAGTTATTACTTTAGAAAGTTTCTCCTCGCTAATGACTTGGAAGTGTCTGAAAGCAAAAATAGTACCTTGTGCATATTTAGCTCCTTTTCATTGAGTAAATGCTCAATATGTACTTGTGTAATTAAATTTCTAAAGTAAATGTTGTAATTCACAGCTCCCTAGGCGGGGCAGATTCTTTCAAGGAACTATGTGTATGAATTTTGTCTTTCATAGCTGACTTCTAGAAAGTATAATTCAGTCAAGTTCAAAATACATTTTTTAGGATCATGTTCTGCAATTATAGCTGCAAACTTGTGAAATGTATAGAAATGAACAAGACAAGGACTCTGTCCTCTAGGATTTAAAATCAAGGAGAGGAGGTATATTATATGACAGAGCAAAGACCATAGAATCGGACATGTGTATTCAAATACTGTTCCCATTTTTTCTTAGCTATACAAGTTACATACAATTTTCTTTTTTTTTTTTTTGAGTTGGAGTCTCACTCTGTCACCCAGACTGGAGTGCAGTGGCTGCTCCCGGCCACTGCAGCCTCGACCTGCTGGGCACCGGCGATCCTTCCGCCTCGGTCTTCCAAGTAGCCGGAATTACAGGCATGCGCTACCACGCCCGGCTGATTTTTTGATTTATTGTAGAGATGAGGTCTCGCTGCCCAGGCGGGTCTCGAACCTGCGGGCTCAGGCAATTCACTCACCTCAGCCTCCCAAAGGCGCGGGATGACAGGCTGATCCACTGAGCCCGGTTTACATGCAATTTTCAAAGTTCAGCTTCTGTAGCTGTAAAATGGCACGCAATGCTTAATTTACAGGATTACTGTGCTAAGTTGAGAATGCATATGCAAAGCACCTAATACTAATATGGTACTTAGCATTTTATAGGCATCCAATAAAACACAGAATTACATAACACATGCTGTTGTAGTACCCACTGTATCCCAAACCTTCTTTTTGTAACATTAAATAAATATTAACTCATTTAACAAAAGTGCTCATAAGAGTACTGATAGGAAGTCCAATCAGGGAAGTGAGTATCACAGAGCAAGGGATGATTGATTTTACTAGTACTCTCAGACAGGCTGTATAGAGAAAGTATCTTGAAGGATAGGCTAAGATTTTGATAGTATTTAAGGGAGTACCAGTCTGAAAAAACAAGATCAAAGTCATGGAGCAAAGGATTGGTGTGTTTGAATAATGGTAAGACGCCTTTGTCCAAATGAGTTGGCATGTTCAATAATTGGCAATAAAGAACAGCCTGGAAGAATGTTTTATAAAAGACAGGCTAAGAAGCTGAAATATATGCATGCCATGTGTTCTTGGAGCTATTTCCTGCAAGGTAGTTACAATATTGACTAGAAGTAGGAATCCCACTCAGAGCCATCTTTAATTAATCCAAGTGGTGGAACACATTCACTCGGTCCTTTAATGTGGCATTGCATTTGTCATTCAACTGCCTTCAAAGGTGAGATGTTTCACCAGTGTGTCATCAGAAATGGATGTTGGACTCACATATTAGAGGGCAATTTCCTTCGTCTTGAAGATGGTTGTGGAGATTTGGCCTTTCCAGTGGTGCCCGCAAGCATGTGGCATGGGTAACAGCAGCCATTGCTGCTTCTGTTCTATTTTGCAGCCACATCTAGGACCTACTGTGAAGATTCATTTTGTTTATTTTGAGAGATAATGGATTTGTATTATCATCTAAACTCTTAAGACTCAGGGTGGCCTCACCGAAGTTATGCGTATAGGTTGCCTCAGGAGTCAGCTAAATATTTGTTGATTTCATTTTAACCTCTGGTCAATCTTATCAAACTTTTACCCAACATGGACCTGACAACCACGAGTTCAGATTATTCTTAATCTGACAATAAAAGGATAACCAGCTTTGTTTTGTCATGTAACTGCACACACTTTAGTAATCCTTTGCAGATTATTCTGTTGTGCTTAAGCGTGCCATAGTTGTTGAGACCAGAGGGGCTCAAATCCCCCCCAGCCAACATGCAAAATGTACTAACATTGTAAATTTACTCTGTTTCCTCTGCATGCCGATCTTTCTTGCATTTTCCCCCTCTTCTCTATTCTCACTCCCATTTTTCCATCTTGAACACAAATTAAGCTTTCTTTTTCAGTATACTAGTCAAGAATTAAAATCAGCTCAACTTAAGAAATATCACCTTTTCTTACCAGCAACATGCTGAGTATTATGTTTTCAATACTATTTGAAACATAGAGACGTCCACAGTGGGTTTTTTTTTTCTTTCATTTTTTTCAATAACTTCTCTGTTGGTCTCCTTTTCTTTCTACTCTCCCTCTATATTTCCTAAAACATAAATTTTATCACGCTTAAAATGACCCATCACTCTTCCTAGATGGGAAACAAATTGTGCAGCGGCTAACAGCAAGGACTTTTTCCTTTTTTTTGAATCCTGATTTGTAGCCCAGCTGTGCAATGTAACAGCTATATTCTGTGGACATGTTAACAACTTTCTAAGTTGCAGCATTCTTACCTGACGCACAAGGCAAGTTAAAGTGTCTTGTGGCACTGCTAACCATTAAGTGACACCAAGTGTATGCCAGCACTTAGTCTCCTGCCTGGCACGAGCAGGCACCAACTACATGGACCCAAGATGGAAAAAGAACTGGAGTCTCTTTCCATTACTTTCCCATACCATCTCCGCTCTACCTCAGGAAGAAGGCAGTGCCTTCTCATTGATTCATTACTGGGGATTTTATTCTTCATATGGTAAACTTTTCAAGTTTTTCTTTTTTTAAAAAATTTCTTTATTTATTATAAAGATATGGGGTACCATTCTGGGTTAGGTATATCCACATTGATCATGCAGGTACCCTTGTTGATGAGGTGTGCCCCTTCCTCTCCTGGCAGTTTCCCTCAACTGCCAATCCCATCCCCCTCCCCCGACAGTTTCCCACTCCTGCCAATCGCTTTCTTAAAGCATTATAATTGTTCAAGGTCACCTTATGAGTGAGAATGTAAGGAACTCGGTTCTTTGTTTCTGTGATAAATCACTGAGTATGATCAACTCCAAATCCATCCAAGTTGCTGCAAAGTCTATATATCTGTCCTTCTTTATGGCTGCATGATATTCCATTGTGTATATGCACCACATTTTTTAAATCCAGTCCAGCTTCGATGGGCAACACAGTTGGTTCCATGTTTTTGCTGTTGTGAATAAAGCTGCAACAAACATACGTGTGCAGGTATCTTTTTTGTAGAATCTTTCCAAGGTTTACAAAAAATTTTTTTTCAGTCAGGAATCAAACAATACCCAGTAGTTTCCGAGATAAAGAATCAATTTTCCTGGTGACTTTAAGTGATGTTTTTTCTCTACTCTTCTGATTTTGCATTGTTTCTAAAACAAGTGTTACCTTTACTATAGATAAAAATTATTTTTAAATAAAAGAATAAACTAAAAATATAAATTATTATGTCAAAAGGTTATTTTTATGAATATAGGTGATTTTCCCTCCCCCATTTTTTGAGTCCAGGTGACTATTTTTCTGTATATATTGCATCTTGCAAATCTTCTGAAATAGTATGTCGTTTTTTAAATGGATAAAAACATATTTTTGGTATATTTTATTTATTTATTTTACTTCATTAATTTTATTCTGTTGTGATAAGAAAGCTTAACATGATATTATGCTCTCAACACATTTTTAAGTGTACAATGCGGTACTGTTTATTCATTCATTCACTGATGGACACTTAGGTTGTTTCCATATCATGGCTATCGTGAATAATGTTGCAGTTAACATGACAGTGCAGATATCTCTTTGAGAGTCTCATTTCAGTTCTCTTGATTATATACCCATCGGCGGAATTTCTGGATCAAATGGTAATTCTATTTTTAATTTTTTTTTTTTTTTGAGTTGGAGTCTCACTCTGTCGCCCAGACTGGAGGGCAGTGGCCACTCCCGGTCACTGCAGCCTCGACCTGCTGGGCTCCGCGATCCTTCCGCCTCAGGTTTCCAAGTAGCTGGAACTACAGGGCCGCGCTACCACGCCCGGCTAGTTTTTTGATTTATTGTAGAGATGAGGTCTTGCCTGCCCAGGCGGGTCTTGAACCCGCGGGCTCAGGCAATCCACTCACCTCAGCCTCCCAAAGGTGCGGGATGACAGGCTGAGCCACTGAGCCCGGCTTATTTTTAATTTTTTAAAGAACCTTCATATTGTTTTCCACAGTGACTATAACACTCTACTTCCCCATCAACAGCATACAATCCCACAAACACTTGTTATCTTTTTTTTATTATTCTAATAGTGTGAGGTGCAATTTCATTGTGTTTCTAGAGAATACTCTGCTAAGTGAATAAACCAGTCACAAAAGACAAATGTTGCATGATTCTACTTATGTGAAGTATCTAATACTCAAACTCATAAAAGCAGAAAATAGAATGGTAGTTGTCAGGGTCTCAGGGAAAGAGGAAATGGGGAATGATTGCTCATTGGAAGAAAGTTTCATTTATGCAAGACGGATATGTTCTAGAGATCAGCTGTACGACGTAGCACCTATAGTTAACAATATGGCGTGATACACGTCAAAATATTTTAAGAAGATTGAGCTCATGTTAATTATTCTTATCACAAACCAAAACAACAAGAGAAAAACAACCACATGCACATATGAAAGAACACGGAAATTTTTGGAGGTGGTAGATATGTTTAGTACTTTGGTTATAGTGTCACAGGTGTATGCACGTGTCCAAACTTGTCAAAATGTATATATTAAATCTGGCAATTTTTGTGTGTCAGTTATACCACACAATAGCTTAAAATGCATAGTTTTCCATAAATACAAGGTTGTGATTCTTATCTGTCTTCCTAGTACAAGTCTTTTATTTCTTGCTTATCAACTAGTCTTTGCAGAGATAATATGAGAACCCTAATGGAAGCACCCTTGTCTCTTGCATCTATCTATCTTAACACACTGTCTGATGCATGACAGTGCTCAGTACATCATTGTTAAATAATGCTGTCTCACTGTACAACATCTGGCCTTGTCAGTATCAGATACTCCCTGTGTGCCCACATTTGTTATTTTGACTCTTGCTTATATCTTTATACACTCACACTGACTTCTTTGTGATTAAGTCTCTTTTGATTAAACACCGAGGAGTTACAGGAGAGAGCACCATGAAAATAAATGTCCCATCATTTGTGTTAATATTATCCTCATCAATATTTGTAAATACATATTTTTTTGAGTCAGGCTGTCGCCTAAGATGGAGTGCAGTTGGCATGCTCATGGACACCACAGCCTCGACCTGCTAGGCTCAGGTGATCCTTCTTCCTCAGCCTTCCTGGTAGCTGGAACTAGAGGAGCAACCACCATTCCTGGCTGATTTATTAGAGATGTGCTCTTGCCAAGGCGCCCAGGCTGCTCTCAAACCCCTGGGCTCAAGCATTCCTCTCACCTCCACCTCTCGAAGTACTAGGGTTGCAGGTGTGAGTCACCATGCCCTGTTAACACTTGTACACTTGAATCAATTTTGATACAGTACTGCATTAGAAATTGGCATGTGGTCCTTATTGATTTATGGTGCCTCTAATTCACAGTGTCTTAGAGGACATAGAGTTATGTTTAGTGACTCTGGTCCTGCTGCGGGTAACTCTATTCCTTTTCCTTGCTTTTCTAAATTTCTTACTGATGAAAGCTCCGTAACATGTCTCTGATTTGAAGATTGTTCTACAGGTTTATAGGATGTACTGCTTCTGGCAAGCCATTTTCTTATTAACAATAGAAGACAAATTTCAAGTAGAACAAAGCAGAACAATTTTGAAAGTTACAACGGCTTCTTCACAAAGAACAACTTTTAAAAAAATTTGGAAAAAAATGGAAAACTTGCGACACGGATATCATACCCATTAAATCAAATCTATATAAAATTTTTTTTACAATATATCATAGTCATAGATAGATTAAGCTTTTCATTTCTATTTCCTAAACTGGTTGTTTGCTTCTGCTTTTTGAGAACTTCAATTAAGCTCTAAGAGACATATCTTACTCTCAACCCAATATTTTTATTTCCTCTTATTTCCCCGACAGATGTGAGCTATTTTGCCTCAGGTTTAAGATTTGATTTTTGTCACACATAGTATCCTTATCTTAATTTAGTTCTTGCAATGAATTTATAATAGAGCTAGCAACTTCCCCACCTGGGAACTGCATAATCTGTAACATTTAATGTGTCACTGTTTTTCCATTGTTTAAAGTGAAATGAATCTGGGCTTTGTGGTTTACACCTCTAATCCCAGGATTTTGGGAAGCTGAGGCGAGAAGATTGCCTGATTTGAGACTAGCCTGGGCAATAAGGCTAGACCTTGTCTAAGAAATAAAAAACTTAGCCAGAAGTGGTGGTGCAAGCCTGTAGCTCCAGCTACTTGGAAGACTGAGGCAGAAGGATCACCTGAGCCCAGGAAGTTGAGACTGTGATTGTACCACTGCCCTTAAATAAATTAATTAATTAATAGGGCAACCCCTTCGGGTCCTCTCCCACTGTGGGAGCTTTTCTGTCCTCCCAATAAATCCCACTTTGTAAAAAGTTAAAGACAAAAAAAACCGAACAAATAAATAAATAATGTTAAATGAACAATTCATTAGCAAAACACAAACGCTGAGATCTAAAGACAAACTTTGAGATCTAAATAATATGTCAAATATGTATGTCATACAACATGACATGTCCTTTATTTCCTAAGAAATATTTCCTTATCATCTTTAGATCAATTGCATGAAGCAGACGTGACACTCTGGATTATCATCTCACATGCTATTTGGTTTTAATTTCTAACTCTAGTCGCGTCTCTTTCCTTTCACGGTTTCACAGAGCAACAATCACAATGCCTTGTACGTTCCCAATGCCTAAAGAGGGTCTGATGAGTTTTTAAAAATTCTCATGCAATTTTTATTTTCCAGCGTTTTAATTTGCTTCTTGTCCAAACTGGCAACACAGTAACTTGTATGTGGGTGAAGATGCTGAAAATGAGACATTACTGGTGAAAACCAAGTTTGCCCAGGATTTTGGCAATTTTGCAGTAGAAATTCAAAAACCCATCAGAGCTCACAGAGAGCAGGTTTGTTTTCTCCCCAAGTAAAATATCTCGTGTAGATCAGACTCACTACACTTAGCAGAACTGCCTAATAACGCTTCGAAATTGTGGCACAATATCAGAAAACTCACACCATAAAATGCAGGTAGCTCCATCCTTCTAACCCAATGCCAGTGGCTTCAGTGCGCAGGAATTTGGGTGGCCAGGAACTCAGGTCAGTATTTCTGAGTTCCTCATCAGTACATGTCTGAGTACTGTAGGCTTGGTGCCTTTTTAAATCTCTGCATATTGCGATAATTTTCAACAGGCACAACACAAACATTTCTTATCAAATTTTTTTTTGGAGTGGAGTCAAAGGAGCTTCCTGGGGATTACTGTTTCTCTGACTTTCTTTTTCTGAAAAAAGTTGTTAAAAACAAAATTCTCACACACCTCTATACTCAGTTATCTCAGTGGTTCTGGCTCATGCCTTATTTAATGTTTTTAAAAAATTGGCAATGAATCAACAAGAAGAAAAAGGATTGCATTAGAAATGGCTGTGTAGATGTTTTAATTTAGAAATGGAAGTCTGATTTCTTTCTGCTTCTTAGATAGTAATGTCACTGTGTGGCATACACTTTTCTTTGTAGAAGCAAAGACTTTGAAAGCAGAAAGCCCTGTAGGATAAGCCAAGCCCAGGTTGTACCATCAGGAAATTATACCCTCAGTAATAAAGTAATAAAATAAACTGACTCCTGCAGTTTATTTAATCATTCAGAACATGTGTCCTTGCCTGACGTTCAGGATTATTGTGAGGCTCAAGTGAGATTCTATAACAGAAGAACTTGTGAGCTAAACTCCCTTAAAATTTAACTATCCCCCTCTGGATGTGAGCACATCTAGTCCTGTGTGGAGGTGTGCAACTACCCACTACGTGTACTGCACTGTGAGGCTTGTACCACAGGCCAGCCTGGTTGCAGCCACTGCCCATGTTATTATCCTAATCATCAGTGCGCTTTCTTTGACCAGAACCTCCCACCATTGAAATCACTTGTCCAACCTGAATCTGAGCGTAAATCTGAAAGATGTGAGGCATCGCTTCTTAAAATATCATGGAATGATGGGATAACCACGGACTCAGGACACCAGGGGTCTGGAAACTCTATTTGCTTCACAATGAGTTAGTACGTCAGACAAGAGAAGTGATAATGGCATAAAAGAGTTTCAGCACTGGAGTAAAAAAGGTAGACCCTAATAATTTAAATATTAACTCAGATATCATGCAGCAAGCTATTGTTTCATAAACTTATTTTATGGATTTGCAGATAGGTAGCATCTACAAGCAACATTTCAGTCCAATTTGCTCTACCTATCGGTGAGGACGACTATATTTTTGATAAGTGCTGTAGTGACTAAAAGCATCCCAGACACCCCAAGACTGCAGTGAATGCCCCTGCTTGTTTTTCATTAACATTGAGTTAACTCATAACTCTAAATATATTAAGATAAAGTGGTTTTGGCCTGTTTATTTGTTCTATTTCTTCCATTCTATTGTAAATTTTTTAGTAGCAGAGACTACTTCATGGGAGATTCTCAGAACCTGACACTTAGTTCATGTTTAAAAATAATAAGTTTCTTTGTGTTGAAACATGAAAAGTTAGCTCTAGATCCGTGGAGCTGAAGGGTTGTGACGGGTCACCCAGGACTGCAAGAGGGATTCCAAGGCTCTGTCATCTCTCATAGAGGTCAGAGACTTACTTGAGCGATGGCTAGACTGCATAGGTGGAAAAGGTTGCAACGGTCCCAGTGCCTTATGCCTTCTGACAGGTAACAAATGCCTGACTGATATGATTTAAAGGAATAGATTAACATGACACAATACCATCAATGAAACTAGAAATTAACCCAGTTCATCTAAAGGAGATCGAGAAAAATAAAGAACCAATAACGGAAAGCAGAGACAAACTGAACAGATTGCCTGGGTGGCTGTCAAGTGCAACTTTCCCAGAGCAGTGGGCAGAGGTGGATGGGGCGATGAAGACAGAATTTTTAAGAGCTGAGGATCTTTTTTGGATATGACAAACCCTGAGGATTTGTGAAATTAGCAATTTCTGCCAATTTGTCATTTACCATACCAAGACAGGTGCTTCATGGTCCACGTTGAAAGGTAAGTTGTGAAAAGGTTGTGAAAGATATTTCTGATTGTGCAACTTATGATTTTCTATTAATTACCAATGCAGATGCAATAAGTCCTGGTGACTAATTTACTTTTACAAAGACTCTTTGTTTTATTAAAAATGAACATGAAGACAATATATACTTATAGTGATGAGCTTATACAGTAACGATATAAGATTAAACAGAATATAGAATGTCAAGAGAACATTCTCCGGTGGTACTCATCACCTTGGAGGTTATTATTGCTCTTGAGACTCATCACTTAGATGTCAAGGATTCCAACCTTCAGCTAAAGATTTCTAACCTCTAGTTCCTAACCCTAAGTGGCATTACATTTACAGGACTGCAAAACAGTTTCAGTCTTGACATTTCTCAGTGCAGAAGGTTTACCTTTGTTAAATGACTCTGGAATGTCTATGAGTTATATTTTTGATCTTGATCTTTTAACCATATAACATCAAACTAACAAAAGTAGACTGCAAATTTTTATGGTATGTTATAGCCCTTTGTAAGTAGTGGAGTCCAGTAAATTATATTTGCCCTTTTAATTTGATTCTGATTATAATGGAGATAATTAGAGCTATAATTACATTCTGAACATTTTATTATTTTAATGTGAGATGGTACCTAATTGACTTGGCTGTGGAGACGGGTGCATGAGTGTGTGAGGAGGGAATGTAATGAACAAAGAGATGAGATAGAAGAGTTTATACTTTAAATTATAATCAAACACTTAGTGAAGTCTTCACAGATATCACCAAACCATTTGCATTCAATTGCTCTAAGAATTCCAAGTAGGATGGGCTTTGATACAAGAATTAGGGGAGTTTCATGATGATTGAAACAGCGAGGAGAGCAAAGCTTATAGAAACAGCTGCTAGAAGCTGGTGGATTCACAGGAGCTCACCAAGAAGCCACAGTACATCTCAGGGGTCTTTGCAGAAGCCCCAAGATCAGCCCGTGTTTATGCATCTGCTGATAATTGTGCTTTAGAATAATAATGCTGTCTCCTTCCGAATATTATATGAGTGCCTCTTATTGGCAGACTCTAACCTAAAACCACAAAGGGAAGGAAATAGAGGAATGATTATCTGAGATCTGTAGAAAAAGTAGCCTGATGTTGACATGTTGACAGTAGACAAGACAGAGATCATGTTTAGGGAAGATCTTCTAGTTCCCTATGACTTGGTAATTGGTTGGGTATTGGAAAGATGGAACATGAAGTTGGAACATTTCTCTGTGATCAGAAGTAAATAAATAGAGGTGGAGATCAGTATGTAGACTACTATAATTTGCTAATCAAAAGTTAATGATTAGGCCTGGAAAAGAGGCATAAGTTAAAACTTCCTCAGAAAATCCACCCCTAACACTTTATTAAACAAGTAGATGAGAATGGATGAAAGGAAGGAATCCAAGATTCTGCAGGTTTTTTTTAATTAGAAAAAGGTAATATTATTACGATTATGATTATTATTTTTAGTTGGAGTCTCGCTCTGTCGCCCAGACTGGAGGGCAGTGGCCGCTCCCGGCCACCGCAGCCTCGACCCGCTGGGCTCCGGCGATCCTCCCGCCTCAGCCTTCCGAGTAGCCGGAACTACAGGCGTGCGCTCCCACACCCGGCTGATTTTTTGATTTATTGTAGAGATGAGGTCTCGCTGCCCAGGCGGGTCTGGAGCCCGCGGGCTCAGGCAGTCCACTCACCTCAGCCTCCCAAAGGCGCGGGATGACAGGCTGAGCCACCGAGCCCGGCTGGTAATATTATTATTAAAATAACAATTATAGATGGTGAAGCAGTTAAAGTTAAAGCGGTGAAGGCCTATGTATGAAGAAGAATGGTGCTCAGTGTGGTTGGAGATCAGTTAATACAAGATTGACAGAAAAATGCCTTACATCCAGGAAGTATCTAGATAAGGAGACCTATTAGCTCACGTCCAGGACTTTCTTTCTCCTGGACTCTAAGCATATGAGGAAAACTTGGAGGGGAATTTAGAAGCAGGGACGGTGCCTTGTATTTGGATTTAAATAATTCTGTCTGGCTGTTATATGAGAATTAAATAAAGGAATACAAAGTGGCCATTGTGATCTGCTGTTGTCATCCAGAAGTGAGATGACAGTGAAGCTTAGACCATGGTGATGATCTTATATAAAAAAAAGAAAACTGGATACTTTTTGGAGAGAGAGTTTTGAGGTAGAATGGTCAGGACTTAACTATTGAATGTGGTTTTGCAATTCCACCTTGATGCGGGGGAGCTCCTGCCCAAGGAGAGGTTCTTATGTCGAAACTCATGAGAGTATTTCTTTGGTATAGACAAAGGAAGACATATTTCTCACACAAGTGGGGAAGTTCTGAGGCAAAGGTCGGGTAGGATGGCTCTCTGGGAAGAAAGACTGGGGCAGAGAGAGAAGATTGAGTACGCCGTCATTTTAGAAAGGGGAAGTCCCACCAACATGTGAAAAAGGCAATTACCTGTGACAGTTTTAAAGAGGCAGAGAAAGGACACATATGCTTGTAGGGGTCATTTTGACTCTTATGTGGGTGCTGTGAGACCCGACTTACACAGAAGGCAAGGAGACGTAAAGGTAGCTCACACCAAATCAAATATTAAGTCAAGATTTTTCTCCATGGCCTTCATACTCTGCATGTTGTTTGTGAGAGAAGAAAGTGAAAAGAACAAGGGAAGTATACAAAGTATGTTCTCTGAATACAACAGAAATATGTATAATATATATATGTATATATACACACATACATATACATATACATATATACTTTTAATAATAGATTTAATGGAGGCAAGGTCTTGCTGGACTGTCCAGGCTAGTCTTCAACTCCTGGTCTCAAGTGATCCTCCCACCTCAGCCTCTCA